ACACTTTGACGAAATTCAATAAATGCATTTATAAGAAATAAATTGAGGTTCTTGTTAAATGTTTTGTACCTACCTCGGTCCATAATATGACCGAGGAAATGAGTAGGCGAATATTCGCACAGTTCACTGAGCTGAAAGAGAACTCACATGAGCAACAAACGGTAGAAATCAGGCGATGGCAATCACGTTGGCAAGTTGTTCCACCAGAGGAGAAACCATCGTGTTTGTTGGCAACACTGGACTTCGCAAACACTCTTGTGACAATGCCAGTGTCTTCGGCAACTGCTGAGCATTCCTTCAGCGCAATGATCAAGATCAAGATCAAGATGGTTTATTGTACATAAGGCCTCTGGCCCGTATACATAGTATTGTAATGGCAGGCAAGGTATGGACATTGCAAACAGTGGAAAGCATCATAACATTGTTAGATTAGTTGACAGGAGAAATTAGACTCTTCCTTAAAGACAGCGAATGTGTTAAAAACATGGCTAATTTTACATGGACAGATTCGTCTTTTGAAGATAAAATTCTTATAAGTGTTTCCCTTGTAGGGTGACCCAGATATTTTTGTGGAATGCACTCCTTTCTTAAATCGGCATAAGCGTCACATATAAATAACAGATGATACTCGTCTTCGATATCCGCCATACAGACAGGGCAAATTCTGAGATGTTTGGCGAGTGACTTGTTACAGCCAGTATTGATCATTATATCTGTCAAGCCAAGTCTAAATCTAATAACTGTATTTCTAAATTTCTTGCTTGTAATGTTTGATAGATATGTCTCAGGTTCAATCAATGTTTTAAAGGATCTATATACATCAAATCTTGAACTTAGATTAAGGGTATTCATCCAATTCTGGCGAAACATATCCACGGCTCTTTGGCGAAATTCATTCATAAACAGCCACTCGTTACCGACACCTTGGAAAATCCACACATATCCAAATCCATACGAAAATAAGAGATATCTTATATTTGATGCCCATGTTACATAACCAATATTATCTAAATTAAGTAGTATGTTATATATGACTTTCTTGGTAGACGCTGTTCATGCATTTTTCAGTATTTTGAACCAGTATTTTATGCAGCGAAGGTGAGAGTTTATGTAAAGTGGGTATCTTCCACATTCTCCATATACCATATAGTTTGGTGTTGTAATGTTAACATTAAGGAACTTCTTAAATGCCAATAAATGTATCTTTTCAATCGGTTCAAAGTCTGGAAACCCCATATCTCCGCCCCATACAAAGCATTGGTTGTATCTGTGCATCGAAAAGTTTAAAAACATCTTTGGTGTTATTGGCGCTAATGGATATAGTGATGAAAGCAGCTACACCCAGAGCCTTTTGCTTTTGATGATAAGGCAATAGCAGTTTTACCCATATCCAATGTATAATTAAAAGTATTCCAAGATATTTGTATTCAGAAACTATTTGCATTGGAATGCCGTTATAAGACCATTTTTCGCCATTAGCGATTGGTCCACCCCTTCTAAATACAACAATATTTGACTTATCAAGATTAACACCTAATTTCCATTCTTTCGAGTAGTTCTCCAGAATGTCTAATTGGTTCTGTAAACCTACCACTGAGTCCGATACTAATATCACGTCGTCAGCAAACAGTAGCATTAAAATCTCCAAAATATCAGGATATAGTTGTACACCATGTTTGCCTTTATGAATTATTTCATTTTCCAATTCGCAAATGAAGAAGGAAAAGAGAATAGGGCTTAACAAACATCCTTGCTTCACACCCAGTGGGCACTCAAAATAGTCAGTGAATCCCCCATTGCTACGCACACAAGCCTTTACGCTGGCATAAATACCTCGTAACATAAATAACATTTTCCCATCTAATTCCGCCCACTTTAAACAAGCCCACAATTTCTGTCGATTTACAGAGTCAAATGCTTTCCTAAAGTCAATAAATGCTACATATAATTTACGTTTTCTTCTTATTAAGTACTTTTGCACAATTGCATACAATGTAAAAATATGATCAGATGTGGAATAACCTTTCCTAAAGCCAGCTTGTATTTCAGGAATTTTATCTCTAATATTAGCCCACATGTTCAATCTTTTGTTGAGGATAGATGTAAACAATTTACCAATACTACTCGTCAGAGATATGCCTCTGTAATTGTCAGGGTTATTGATGTCACCCTTCTTATGTAGAGGTACTATGATAGGCTGTGCCCAGGTTCTTGGAAAGTATCCAGTCTTAAAGACATAGTTCAAACATTTATGTAAAAATGGCAATATAATGTCTTGGGAAGCTTTTAACATCTCCACTAAAATCTTGTCCGGACCAGGTGATTTTCCATTTTTAAGATTTCCTATGGCATCGACAATTTCGGTTTCGGTTATTATTGAATCAAGGATTTCAGCATCAAGTTCTGTATAACCACTGGTCTCCAAACTAGCCTTAGATTCCTGCAAGCTAGCTGTATCATTACATTCATATTCTTCATGAAAATGTGAAAAAACAGAACGGAAGTGTAACAACCACTGGTCAGTTGTTATCTTACAAACCACATTTTCTTTACTTTTCAAGGAACGAATCTCCCGCCAAAATTTATCAGATTTTGAGTGAAAATGCTAATTTTTTTCAGTCGGAGATCTCTTGTTTTGCTCTTATATTTTCGACATGATTCTTTATATTTATTTCTCAAAGTACAAAAAGTCTTTCTGTTGTAGTCGTTTCGTGTAAGTCTAAATTTCCTAAGCGCCCTCCTCGCTTCACGCTTTGCAGACCTACACTCGTCGTTTAAGAGTTGGCGTCTTAAAGTCTGGCATCTAAAAGCTGGTCTTTTCATACATTTGGCTGCATCCAGTAGATGACTTACGAACTGGCTAAGAGCACCATCTAGATTAGTGTCTATATATTCAGTTAAACTGTGAAAAAAGGCATTTGCTTTGCCTGTTAGGCAAGCTATAAAGTGATCTGATAAAGCACTGTTCTACCTGTACGTTTCCGCGAGATTAAGTGTAATACCTGGTTGTTTATCTGACAGCGAATTAGGAGAGTAACAAAAAAGCTCCAAGGGCTGGTGGTCAGATTCAAGACGTTGACCCACATTTAACATAGCTATTATGTCGAAAAACTCAGCTGAAGAGATAAAATAGTCATTTACACTACTTCCTTGTGCACTTATGAACGTAAATTCACCTTTAGCATCGCCAGGTACTCTGCCATTAACAATGAACAATCCATATGTGTAGCATATATTTATCAATTTTCGACCAAAAGCGTTTATCACACTATCGCTGGATTTCCTCTCGCTGACAGGATCATTATCCCCATCAATAAAGGAAGAACCAATAATATCGTCGGCCTCGTTTTCAGCCTCAGGTGAACACGGATTGTTCTCACTTGCAGTTCTAGCATTCATATCGCCACAAAGAAGAATTGCACAATTACTGAAGGAAGAAATATTTTCAAATAAGAATTCCTCAAGCTTATCGAGTGCACAAGAGAAGTTAACCGTGTGATAATAATTTGATCCCGTGGGAGGGATGTATACGCAGATAAGTATAATATCCTTGGTAAAACCGAAAACATTTTTGCCAATCTTTATACAAATAAAGTTGTCCACCCCCATCGTGAGTATCTGGAAATGAGACGGGTTAAAACGTATCTCAGGTCAACATTGGTAACGGAACGGCTTAATGCACTTACACTACTTCATATTCACAGCGATTTTGATGTCAACTTTGATAAGGTGGTGGATGATTTTGTAGAAGGGAAACCCCGCAAAATGGCACTTCTCTTCAAGTAGAGTTGATGCATACAGTAACTGATGCCAGCAGATCTGTTCCTGACTGTATCAAACTATTTCATAGTTGATTTAGCTCTTCTTGTTCTTGTTCCCTTTACAACGTTCCTGTATTTCTGAGAGTTCCAGTTGATTGTTTTGTGGTTTATTGTACGTGTACTTTATGGGTCCATGCTTATCAGTTGCCCTGATATGGTGTTTGAAATAGTTACAAATTGTTTCACTGCGTTATTATTATTCCAGGTAATGTTTGTTAGAACCTGCTCGTTTGGTTCGCCTGATGTTTTAGTCAGTTTGCAGTAATCGTTCATCAAAACCTTAACCTGTGCTTACAACTGAAATGTTCCTGGTTACGCCCCTGGAGGCAACGTGAAGATGTCTACTGAGTGAGTTAGATTTAAGTACTCCTGATACACCATCAAATGTCTGCTTAAAGTGGTGGGAGGAAATCCCGAAGTGATGAATGTCGCAGACATTGGTTTGGGTGTGCCCATAGGGTACTTTAGGAATGAATAATGAATGCAAGCTCTTTCCCAATTTAATGAACAGACATTTGGTAAACATGAGGGAAATAGAAATGCAGGCTTATCCTCCTTTTAATAAGGAACATATTGAACTTTAGGGAAAATAACAAATAAAGCTTTTCCCCGAGAGAACAGTCCTGCGGCTTCCACGTTTTCTATCCCGGTAAGTAATCGAGTCCAGTCGGTTAATTTGTACTGTACATTAAGCCATGGAGCGGCTAAGATGAAGTTTCCACACGAATTGTGCATTTGATGATAAAAGCACCAAAAGTGGTCATCATATAAAAAAAACATGTCTGAAATAAGTTCAAATTTTGCGCTTGTGCGCATGCGAAGTACATAAACTATGACATACTATTTTCAACGTTTCCCCTTAAATATTTAGTATAGCCAATCAATAAACACCTATACTTTTTCACCTATACGCATATAGTTATTTGCAGTTACATGCAAAGACAAAATATACATAATTTTAAAATGATAGAAAACAATAAGTACTCCCTCTTCCCAAAATAGCGAAAAATGAAATTATTTTGAGTGCCTCCATATACTAAAATGTTCGTGTGTGTATGTGCGAAATTTCATGCTTTCATCATTAAATGCACATTTTATCTGTTTAGCCGCTCCATTAGTATAGCCGAGCGGCGTTGACAGTGGGACATCACAAGACGTGCGCTTGTAAAATGTCAACAACTGAAAAAACGTTGTGGTTGGCCTCAGAATCAATCGGTCATCTCCGACTTTTCCCGGGACTCATCGCCATGACGTCACGATTAACGCCCACAGCGCGTACCATATATAAGCTCCAGCATTTCGACGTGGAGCAAAAAACGCTCGAACCAGATCGACATCAACAGCGTTCTTCGTAATAGCGTAAGTAGTATGTTGTTTCTCTTTCACTCGGCATGCAAACTCAAGGGGTCCACTGCCTATTCTTTGTGTGTGACCAGCCCAACTGTAAGTCAATGCTTAGCATCGGAACTTCATTGTATAACATTATACTTCCCATCCATGCCATTCAGACATGCAAATGCCAATGCTGACATTTCTAAAGACCCATATGTCAAATGTATAGCAGGGCAGTATCACGAGTGAGGAGACGATGTGGTCCACGTCACACAAACAGCGTTGCCGGTAGTGGCATGTGATTTGGCGTAATGCTGACAAATAAATGCAACGCTATTCAGTACGACAAAAAGTGAACGGTAATCTCTGATTTGTGCATGTAAATGTAATGATTCAGAAATCCTTATCGAAGGGCTGAGAGATGCGTTGCTATTTAATCCGACACTGTTTTTCCCTTTATACCACTAGGGTATGTTATGTCCATTGTTCTGGCAGGTTGATTTTCTGTGTATCAACCTTCTATCTGCACGTGCAGAGGTTGATATGTGGATAACAACCTTGGCGGTGCAGGAAACGCACGTGCAACAAGCAATGTACGAGTCCATTCGGCGCCCACGTGGTATAAGTAGGTTAGCACCCCCCCTCTGTGGGTGATATGGATTCAACGCTCTCGCCTGACGGCTCGAGCGTTGAAATCCATATCACCCTTGAGGAGGGTGCTAACGTATACATCTTAAACAAAGTTATTTGCCTGAAGTATTCACACATCCATAATCGGCGGTTACTTACTTTTTTAAGCTACTATTTTGTCGTTTTAGGCTATCAATAATGCACATACATGTTATAGGACATCATCGCATCTGGAACCTTTATTCAGATCTTTGGATATTCCAAAATGATTATTCTCTGGTGTTGATGTTTTTGAAAATCATCTCAGGCTCTTTTGAGAAACGCAGCACAGCCTCTTGAACAAGATTAATTGTTTGTTGTTTAAAGCCGCACTCAGCAATATACAACTATAAACTATAGTCTGTAAATAACCGAGTCTGGACCAGACAATCCAGTGATCAACATCATGAACATCGATCGACGCAACTGGGATACGGTGATATCTGTCAACCAAGTCAGTTAGCCTGACCACCCGATCCCGATCCCGTTAGTCGCCTCTTACGACATGCACGGGTTACTGAAGATCAATTCTAACCCGGATCATCACGGGTATCTCCCTTCATTGATGGTTTTCCTCTGGCATTAACAGCAGTAAGCAGTAAATAGTTCATCATGCCCAGTGTGTAGGTTGGAATTTCAGTACACCTGTGTTTGGATTTCAATATGGGGAATTCAATAGTACAAGATAGGTAGTACAAGATAGGTAGTTCAAGATATGTTAATGTGGCAGGTCTAACCTGACGAATCAGCCCGTTTCATCTGTGATGAACCACGCGGTATGCATGCTGTACGCTCTTTTGTGAAAAAGTGTGCGAGGTCACGTGACCACGATTTCATGTGCCTAAACACTAGCATGTGTGCACAATGTGCTGGTGATTAGGACAAAACAAGCTAGTTAAAAAACTTTCATGCCACGCCTTACAAATGTTGAACGTGCAATTGGCATGATCTACTGGAGACGGACAATCTACAACCTGAGGCCACGTGTGCATCAAACACTAGGGCATCTGATCGCCCCAGGTCAGAACAGCCACGTGTCACGTCATATACCGAGGACAATCAAATGCGGCTGTGTCATTTGTGTAATCGTTTTACGAAAGCAACGTCAACCAGACCAAGCCAGACCACGCCAGACCACGCGAAACCGCTTCCCATTTTCATGCTCGCATACGCGGTACTGAAAGAACTCCATAACAGATGGCTAGTCCCTGTGAAATAATTAAGTTACCCCATCGTGCGGCTGTTGACTGTGGACGGTGCAACACACTTTCCTCTCTACGAGTATGTTTGGGACATAAAGTAACACATGTTAAGTTTCTTCTTTTTTTAGTATACTTCTAGTACGCATAGCAGCTACGTGTTGGTAATTGTGCTGATAAGTCCTTAACCTCACATCGATTTATTAGTAAAATCTTTCTGGTGTGATTTTCGGAAAATTGACAAACTTGAGGACTGTGCAGTGATCAAAATGCAAACAAGGCCAAAGGTCAATTATAACACTTTCAGCAAAACAGTCAAGTTGTTTAAAATTTGGACATAAAATCAGACGCGATGAGGTAATTTCTAAAACTCTGATAGGATACTTGGACCTCCGTAGGAACACCATCTGGCTCTTATGGTCACGTTTTCTGCGAAACAGTCAAGTTGTGTAAAATTTGGACATAAAGCCATACGTCGTAATAGGCGCGATGAGGCAATTTCTAAAAATCTGATAGGATACTTAGACACTGAGGACTGAATGACTGCAGGATTATCACTGAATCCGACAGCCATTGCAATTTGGATTTGTAAATCATATGTACCGTCGACTGGGCGTCAAGAGATTTTTTCCAATTGGCGTCTTGTAATCACTTGTAATCCATGCTTCCAAGAAGGGGATCATCCTGGTTATCTGTGTACCTATTGTCGGTAATAGGGTCTAACATATTGGGGGTTCACTGGTACTTCTTCAAAATCTTTTAATCAGCTAGGATATTCAGAAAAAAACATTCATATGCATTCAAACGCTATTGTTACTGTTACTGTCACTGTTGGAAATATCGGTAACTGGCTTGAGCTCACGGTCTAACGCAAAAAAATGGAGAAGTGAAAACAATTGATCTCTAATCATTTCATACACAGGTCTGCGAATAAACAAACGAAAAAGGACTCACAGCAAAATAAATGAAGGTACCGAAATGCACACATTCAACGCAATCAATAGCACAATAGTATATTACAAATGGGTTCACTGTAGGGTAAAATAGTTTCTTTCTCCGTGTAGTGTATATGCATATACATATATATGAAAGATCTTGGAGTGTACATAGACAAGGACCTATCACTTGATGCTCAGATCAACCATCTTTCAAGAATCTGCTTCTTCCACTTGAGAGCTATCAGTAACATTCGTCATAATTTAACAACAGACGCAGCCCATACTCTCGTCAGGTCCCTCGTTCTATCTAGACTGGACTATTCAAACAGCATTCTGTTTGGACGCATTGTATCCCTAACATCTAAAAGATCTCACATAACCCCTGTCCTAAAGTCTCTTCACTGGTTGCCCATCCAAGCCAGAATCGAATTCAAGATCTTGACCATTGTGTTCCAATGTCCACATGACCTAGCGCCTCAGTACATCTCTGAACTCATCTCAGTGTACACACCACCACGACACCAACAGTTCCACCTAGCAACATCCCCTGTCAATCTCAAGAACTATGTTCACAGATCATTCAGCTATGCTGCTCCTTCACTGTGGAACAGTCTTCCCATAACCATCAAAACCATCTCGACTTATTCAAATCTTCATTGAAGACCCATCTTTTCAGGAAATATTACGAATGACTTGTACAATTGCTTGTTTTTTTAGCTGTACGCACTGGGCGCCATGAGCATACACTAGTGTGTGGAAACGGCGCCATACAAGTGGACATTATTACATTATTACATATATTATACTCAGTTTGTAATATACTATCCAAAAAAGAAACACATAAGTGTTTTGTATTTTTTTTAAAATCTATTAATTACCTATTGTGTTCAAACAATCGTCAAAATATGTAACTAAAGTGTTGATAAGATGATTTTACACAATTGCACAAGTGAAAAATCGTCTTTACCTGAAAATGTTGATTTTGATGAGATTTCTTACAAGACTTAAAAAGGCATCGCCACAACACAACAGAAATTACCTTCCAGTTGAAATTGTGCAGCAAAGAGCATGCACTGTCTGGCTATAATAATCCAGATTGCTTTCGGAAATAGGCATTCGTTTTGAAGGAGTTTCAATGTCAAATCACAACGCCACGTCTTGACGCTGCAACACGGAACATCGCCATTGAAAGAATGCACGCTTGAAAGCAATTTTCTGTTGCCAGGCGTCTGAATGTTAGTCTGAGCACGCAACTCGTTACAATCAAACAGGTATAACAAATGACCGTTCCCGTACAGGCAGACCTCGAGTCACCACTGCAGCCCAAGATCGGTACATCCGGGTACTACATTAGCGTGATCGTACTGCCACAGGTGAAAGCACAGCAGCCAGGGTGCCTGGACTTCCGGAGGATATCCGGTCACAAAGTACGGAACAGGCTGAGAGAGATTGGACTGAGAGCCAGGAGACCCAACGTCGGGACCATGCTACGTGGTCACTATCGCGCCCAGCGTCTCCGTTGTCTAAAATTATCCACTTGGTTGTATAGACATTACCTTCTTCTAAACTGATGTACAAATTCATGTACTAAAGTCTATTTGTTGACGAGTTATACATGTTTGTAAATACAACATTTTCGCAAAAGATTTCTGGGTTATGCGTTTCCTTTTTTGGAATAGTGTGTATATATGTATATATATATATATATATATATATATGTGTGTGTGTGTGTGTGTGTGTATGTGTGTGTGTATGTATAGACATACTATACATACTATATATATGGCCATTATCACATGTACTTTGTTGAAAGAAAGACGGGTACATTTTATTCCTTTTATCCCTCTCATACCAAGGCAACTCCAGTGCGCGAATGACCATAACTGTGAAAGCCTACTAACAGGGCGTTTGGGCTGAAGAATAAATTGTGCAATGAAAGTCGACAGACCTGATGTTTGTATTACGGTTATTCCGGGAAAGCAGAGTTGTCACTGACATATGTTTGAATAGTTTGCGCAGACTGTTGGATAAAACAGCATGATGTATTTTCATCTTAGCTTGGCATCCTTTTGGAGAAGGTGTGTACCTTCTTTGCTGCGGGTAAAATGTTAGTAATGCGTATCTTTGTTACATGGTTACTCAAACAACAGATCCATTTAAAGAAAAAAATTATCTGTGTATTTACTTTTTCAACAGGCAAACATGAGGGGATTTGCTTTCGTTGCACTCGTCATTGTGGCTGTGGGGTGCTTGGTGAGTGACGTCATGGCCCAGTCCACAAGCGAAATCAGCTGCTCCGCCCCTCTGCTCGCGAAACGTAACTTTTATTTTGAGTGCCGCCGTCAAAACAAACAGATGACCATGACCGGAAATGGCATGCCAGGCGACTGCTTCTGGCTGTGCAGAAACTACTAGCCCTATCAGGACTTCTCGTAGATGTCATCATCGGAGAGTGGTCTCACCTTGAAGTCATGATTATTCAGAATATTCAGGTCAATAAATACTGCACAGCTTATATCGTGTGTCTGTGGTTGCAGTAGTGTATGCATGCTCTTTTTGTTGCTTCACATCAATCAAATGTAGAATCCTATATTACGGCCGCATGCATGGGTAACTTGCCGAACCCGACCTTCTCAGCACATACAAACACTCCCTCGCCACAACACGGAACTGACAAACCAAGACACAGTCTAGGCCACAACACGAAGCTGACAAACCAAGACACAGTTTAGGCCACAACACGGAGCTGACAAACCGACAGACAGTCTAGGCCACAAAACATGGAGCTGACAATCCAAGACAAAATCTAGGCCACAAAACACGGAGTTGACAAACCAAGACACAGTCTAGGCCACAAAACACGGAGCTGACAAACCAAGACACAGTCTAGGCCACAAAACACGGAGCTGACAAACCAAGACACAGTCTAGGCCACAACACGGAGCTGACAAACCACGACACAGTCTAGGCCACAAACACACAGCTGACAAACCAACACACAATCTAGGCCACAAAACACTGAGCTGACAAACCAAGACACAATCTAGGCCACAACACGGAGCTGACAAACCAAGACACAGTCTAGGCCACAAAACACGGAGCTGACAAACCAAGACACAGTCTAGGCCACAAAACACGGAGTTGACAAACAAAACATGACACACCAAGACACAGTCTAGGCCACAAAACACGGAGCTGACAAACCAAGACACAGTCTAGGCCACAAAACACGGAGCTGACAAACCAACACACAGTCTAGGCCACAAAAACACGGAGCTGACAAAACCAAGACACAGTCTAGGCCACAAAACACGGAGCTGAGAAACCTGACAACCAACTAGGCCTGGCTGACAAAACCAGACACAGTCTAGGCCACAAAACACGGAGCTGACAAACCAAGACACAATCTAGGCCACAAAACACGGAGCTCTTAGGGCCACAAAACCAAGCTGACACAGTCTAGGCCACAAAACACGGAGCTGACACAAACCAAGACACACACACAGTCTAGGCCACAAAACACGGAGCTGACAAACCAAGACACAGTCTAGGCCACAAAACACGGAGCTGACAAACCAAGACACAGTCTAGGCCCACAAACATCGGAGCCACAAACCACGACACAGTCTGACAAACCAAGACACAGTCTTGGCCACAAAACAATGAGCTGACAAACCAAGACACAGCACTAGGCCACAAAACCGGAGGCCACAAAAACACGGAGCTGACAAACCAAGACACACAGTCTAGGCCACAAAACACGGAGCTGACAAACCAAGACACAGTCTAGGCCACAAAACACGGAGCTGACAAACCAAGACACAGTCTAGGCCACAAAAACACGGAGCTGACAAACCAAGACACAGTCTAGGCAACAAACACGGAGCTGACAAACCAAGACACAGTCTAGGCCACAAAACACGGAGCTGACAAACCAAGACACAGTCTAGGCCACAAAACACGGAGCTGACAAAAACCAAGACACAGTCTAGGCCACAAAACACGGAGCTGACAAACCAAGACACAGTCTAGGCCACAAAACACGGAGCTGACAAACCAAGACACAATCTAGGCAACAAAACACGGAGCTGACAAACCATGACACAGTCTAGGCCACAAAACACGGAGCTGACAAACCAAGACACATTCTAGGCAACAAAACACGGAGCTGACAAACCAAGACACAGTCTAGGCCACAAAACACGGAGCTGACAAACCAAGACACAGTCTAGGCCACAAAACACGGAGCTGACAAACCAACACACGGTCTAGGCCACAAAACACGGAGCTGACAAACCAACACACAGTCTAGGCCACAAAACACGGAGCTGACAAACCAAGACACAGTCTAGGCCACAAAACACGGAGCTGACAAACCAAGACACAATCTAGGCCACAAAACACGGAGCTGACAAACCAAGACACAGGCTAGGCCACAAAACACGGAGCTGACAAAGCAACACACAGTTTAGGCCACAAAAACACGGAGCTGACAAACCAACACACAGTCTAGGCCACAAAACACGGAGCCTGACAAACCAACACACAATCTAGGCCACAAAACACAGAACTTGTTTACACATCAATGCAAGCGTTTCAAGATTGTAGCTCTGACAGCAGATTTGTCAGCAGTCAGAAAGAAAGCCAAATGCCATTGAGCTACATAAATAGAGCACACACCAAGCAGGGACACGTTGATTATGAAAAAAAAGAGGAATCTGGTTTCAAATCTACAATTATTAGACCCTACTTGCACAGCAAAGCGAGGGACTCTACAATTATTTTGATTGGAATCTCTCGGATTCCTCTTTCAGAAGGCACCACTGCGACTTCAGTCTCAATGCCTGACAGCTGCTTTAGAAGTCTTTCTTGAATGAGATGTGTAAGAAGCTGTGGCGCCTCATCTTAGTTATGTGGCTTGACATTACTATAAGGAGCGAGTGAGTGAGGTTAGTTTTAGTCACACACTGCTTTTGAGCATTATTCCTTTAGACGAGCGTAGCCTTTAACCACTATGCTACTTCACCGCCCTGGGTTTACTGAAAAAATACAACCAAACAAACTGGAAGTGGTGTAACAAAGACATTGAAAGATCACTATAAACGAACTGGACGGATACAGCAAACTCTTCTTGTTGTCCCAACCACTGGCTATATACTTTAGTTGATGTACTCAGCTTAAAATTCCTCGCTTCGCCCGAATCGGGCCCCAGAACGGCTCCATTCTTTCATCTCTCGACTCCGTCAAATATCATAAGTAGCCTGTCCGGTGGTCTGGTAGATGCTTTTACCCCGCAAATGTTTCCATAATGTCAGACAGGTCCTCTTGTCAGTTTGAGGTTTAAAGCATTATGATACTATGTTAAACCATTTTTTGACGATTGACAGTTCCATTTCCATTAAATAACCAACTTCAACTCGATGTACTTTCAGTTTACCTAAACTCGGTGCATTGCCTGTTAGTGCTATGTTGTTCATTGGCGATGCCTACAAACAGGACTGTATTCAGAAACCTGATTTTTGGTTTGTTTTTCATTGTTGAAAACCGACAGGTAAAGTTTGTATCCTGACTGGTAACGAAAGCGCTTCAGTCCGGGTTGTTGTCTGGCTTGGAAGTGTAAGAGTTTTAAACACTGATGTAATTGCAATAAGATGCACGCGGACAAACTAAAAATTAGTGGTCCCTTTGACAGAGTAAAGCAGATAAGCTATGCGGTAATTCCTAAAGAGTCTGTTCGTTATGCAAGCATACTTTGAAGTTTTGTAAATACTCAATAAATGTGATCTTGCACGCGCACACACACAAAATGTCAAATCTTTGAAGACCGTGCATAGATAAAATAACTGGAAGCATATTAAGATAATTCTATTTCAGGAGGGGGCGGTGGGGTAGCCCTTAGCGGTTAAAGCGCTGTCATCACATCTCGGGTTCTAACTCACATGGGTGCAATGTGTGAAGCTCCATTTCTGGTGTCCCCCACGCGGATGTTGCTGGAATATTGCTAAAAGCGTATGTAGCCAAACTCAGTCAGTCAGTCAGTCTATTTCTAGGACATGAACGCGGCAACTTTCTCAGTCTTTCTTTATTGTTTCTCATAGCTACAGATCAAATATAAATAACAAACACTAACATTGAAATCCTTTATCATATTTCTTTTAAAATTAATGGAAAATGGCAACACCCATTTGAGTCTGAGTGAGGTGAGTAGAATTTATACCGGTTACTCAAGGGAAATTATTAATTAACTGAGATGAACACAAGCTGCAGTACATAAACCCATTGACCCAAAAGTTATCTGTAGCTCTGCTTTGAGTTCATTCCTAACCATAGTTTACTGTATAGTGAAACACCATTAACGATATGTGCCCTTGTGCAGTTAAAATGGAGCACTGAGCCAAGGGGAAACTGCAGGGAAGAGATGGAGGGTCCCACTTGAGTCTGTTATTACCTTGTATAGCGAAACACACCATTAACGATATGTGCCCCTTGCCAGAGATGTAGTGAAGTTTATAGGCTCACTCGGAGAGCCAAGGGGAACTCTGCAGGGAAGAGATGGGAGGGACCCACTTTGAGTCTGTTATAACCTGGTATAGTGAAACACCATTAACATATATGTGCACTCGCCAGAGATGCAGCAGTTACAGGCTCACTGAGTGCCAAGGAGGGTAACTCTGCAGGAAGAGATGGAGGGACCCACTTTGAGTCTGGTTATTACCTGGTATAGTGGAAACACCATTAACGTGATATGTGCCCTTGCCAGAGATGGCAGTAGCTTAAGGCTCACTGGAGCGCCAAGGGGGAAACTCTGCAGGAAGAGAGATGGAGAGGACCCACTTTGAGTCTGTTATTACCTGGTATAGCTTAAACACCATTAACGTGATATGTGTCCCCTTGCCAGTAGTTACAGTAAAGCCTAAGGCTGACTGGCCAAGGAGGGTAACTCTGCAGGGAAGAGATGGAGGGTCCCACTTGAGTCTGAGCTATAACCTCAGATAGTGAAACACCATTAATCATATATGCTTCACCTTGCCAGAGAGATGCAGTAGTTACAGGCTCACTGAGGGTGCCAGGAGGTAACTCTTGCAGGGAAGAGGATGGAGGGACCCACTTTGAGTCTGCTGTTATGTAACCCTGTATAGCTTGGTGACACCATTAACATATATGTCACCTTGCCAGAGATGCAGTAGTTACAGGTCCATCGAGAGCCAGTATGGAAACTCTGCAGGGAAGAGATGGAGGGTCCCACCTTCAGTCTGTTATTACCTGGTATAGCTTAAACACCATTAACGCGATATGTCCCCTTGCAGAAGTTACAGGCCTCACTGGAGTGCCAAGGAGGGAAACTCTGCAGGAAGAGATTGGAGGGGTCTCCACTCCAGTCTGTTATTACCTGGTATAGCGAAACACCATTAACGTGATATGTCCCCTTGGTGGAAGCCAGCAGGCTCACTGAGTGCCAAGGAGGGAAACCTGCATTAAAGAGATCGAGGGTCCCACCTTTTGAGTCTGCAGCAT